GATGAGGAAGACGCAGAGAAAACGGCTTTCATTACGCCGTGGGGAATGAATTGTTACAAAATGATGCTGTTTGGGTTAAAGAATGCTGGGGCCACCTACATGAGGGCCATGACTACTATTTTCCACGACATGATACACAAAGAGATCGAGGTGTATGTAGACAATGTCATCATCAAATCCAAGAAAGCCACTGACCACATGGAAGATCTGAGGAAATTCTTCAACAGATTGAGAAGGTACAATCTGAAACTGAATCCCGCCAAATGTGCATTCGGGGTTCCTGCCGGGAAACTACTTGGATTCATTGTGAGTCGCCAAGGGATAGAATTGGACCCATCAAAGGTTAAAGCCATTGAAGAGTTGCCGCCGCCGAAGAACAAGAAGGACGTGATGAGTTTTCTGGGGAGACTCAACTATATCAGCCGATTCATAGCCCAGTCCACTATCATTTGTGAAACGATCTTTAAAATGTTGAAGAAGGACGCCGCTACCAAATAGACTGATGATTGCCAGAAAGCTTTCGACAGAATCAAGGAATACCTGTCAACGTTGCCAGTTTTGGTTCCGCCCGAACCAGATAGACCTCTTTTGCTCTACCTTGCGGTATTGGATGGGGCATTCAGTTGTGTTTTGGGACAACATGATGAAACGGGGAGAAACGGAGCAGGCCATCTACTATCTCAGCAAAAAGTTCACCCCGTACGAGGCCCGGTATTCCCTATTGGAACGAACCTGTGTGCTCTGACATGGGTAGCTCGAGAAGTTGACGGCATTATTTCTGTGCGTATACCACTTACCTCATATCAAGAACGGATTCGCTGAAATATATCTTTCAGAAGCCCATGCCCACTGGCAAGCTAGCCAAGTGGCAAATCCTGCTGAGTGAATTTGACATTATCTATGTGACTCAAAAGGCAATCAAAGGACAAGCCTTGGCAGATCATCACGCCGAGAATCCCGTGGATGGAGAATATGAGCCTCTAAAAACATATTTTCCCGATGAAGAGGTATATTTCATAGGAGAGGATATTGCAGAATCCTATAATGGTTGGAGAATGTTTTTTGACGGAGCAGCAAATTTCAAAGGAGTTGGTATAGGAGCAGTCTTAGTATCAGAAACCGGCCAGCATTATCCGGTATCTGCCAAACTCAGGTTCCCGTGCACCAACAACGTGGCCGAATACGAAGCCTGCATCTTAGGGCTCAAGCTGGCCATTGATATGAACATTTAGGAGTGTCTAGTGATCGGGGATTCATATTTGCTCATACATCAGGTCCGAGGAGAATGGGCAACCAAGAACTCCAAGATACTCCCTTATCT